CAACAACAACAACAAAACCCAATTCCCATATGTATGGGGTAAGGGGGAGGTAGGGTAGTAGGCTGCCCCCAACGCCAGGTTGAGAATAGCTTCCGTGAAAGACCTCCGGCAGTCAGAAAATTAAAAATATAGATAAAATGCAATGCATGTATAAATAATTACATAAATACATAGTTAAACAGTATTCATATGCAGTCATTAATATCATATGTGTCTGTAATGGGGAGTAATCCCTGCAAATAATCCCTGCGAAAGAGTCTCTGCATATAGACAGAAACCTAAGACCCGGCTAAAAATAACATAGGAAACATGATGAGAATGATACACATGAGACAACGATAGTAAGCCCAGTTCTAATATTTCATAAATACCAATAACAGAAAAGTATAAAAAGTAAAAGTCAAGGAAATAACTACAAATGCATTTAAAAGAAGACAAAGATGATACACCCTATAGATGTGACCCACACTACTCGACTACCTAGTCTTAAGCCTCCATAATTTCCTATCATAGGTCATGTCTTCGGTAAGGCCTAAATCCCTCAAATCAGATCTCAAGCGTCATCCCACTTCCGCCTTGGTCGTCCTTTCCTTCTGGCACCGTCGACTGTAATCGACTCTACCCTCCTGACCGCATCCGACGGTAGTCGCCTAAGGACGTGTCCAAACCACCGTAGTCTTCCCTCCTCATTTTTTCGGAAACAGACATCACCCCTAAGGACATCCTAATAGCAGAGTTTGTCGTCATATCCCACAGAGTCCTACCACATGTCCATCGAAGCATTCTCATTTCTGCGCCTCTATCCTCCTAACGTGATCCTTCTTGGGTGCCCAACATTCTGATCCATACAACAGCGCTGGTCTTATTGCCATTCTATAAAATTTTCCCTTAAGTTTTAGAGGCACCTTCTTGTCACACAAAACTCCAGTAGCAGCCCTCCACTTTAGCCATCCCGCCTTTATACGGTGTGTAACGTCATCATCTACACCCCCATCTTTATGTATCATAGACCCTAAGTACTTGAAACAATCCTTTGAGGGAAGAACGTGTCCTTCGATGCATACTTCTACATTTTCATCATTTTGGTTCCCACTGAAGTTTGAACATAAATACTCTGTCTTTTCAATATTGATCCTTAAACCTTTTTCTTCCAAAGCAGTCTTCCAGGTAGCCAGTCTGCTATTCAACTCAGATTTTGTTTCAGCCACTAAGACAATGTCGTCAGCGAAAAGCATACACCAAGGTACACCGTCTGGTGTCGCACAATAGATGTCGTCCATAATCAAGGCGAAGATGTAAGGGCTAAGAGCCGACCCCTGGTGGAGTCCGATTTCCACCGGGAATGCCTCGGTGTCGCCAACTGTAGTCCTGACGTAAGTAGTAGATCTACAGTACATATCACGAATCGTCCGGATATAAGCAGTTGGTATCCGTCTCGTTTCCAAAGTCTTCCATATCGTATCGCGAGGAACGCTATCATAGGCCTTCTCAAGGTCAATGAACGCCATGTGGAGATCTCTAGACTTTTCCCTATATTTCTCCATAAGCCGTCGAAGTAGATGAATCGCCTCCGTGGTAGACCTGTTTGGCATAAAGCCAAATTGGTTTTCCGAAACCCTAGTGACTTGTCTCAACCTAGCCTCTATCACCCTTTCCATAGCTTCATGGTATGGCTGAGTAGTTTAATACCTCTGTAGTTACCACAACGTTGGGGATCTCTTTATTTTATAAATTGGTATCACCGTAGACTCTCTCCACTCCTCTGGCATCTTGGCAGTCTCTAAATAATATTAAAGATGTTGGTCAACCACTTAACTCCCTCATCTCCTAAGGCTAACCACACAGTGATAGGAATTTGATCAGGACCGACAGCTTTCTCCCTTCCCATCTTTCTAAGAGCCATTTTGACTTCCTCAAACCCAATCCTACTTGTAGGGCAGTCATTGGCCGTAGTATGATGGTCGGCTGACCCAACAACGATATTATCTCTACATGGAGAGGCACCGTCATTAAATAAGCCAAAGAAGTAACTACCCCAAACCCTCTTAATATCCTGTTCTTTCGTTAAAAGAACACCATTGTTGTCCTTAATAAACCTAATGTTACCTAGATCTTTTTTCCTAGTCTCCCTAGATTTTGAAAGTCTGAATATGCCATTTTGTCCTTCCTTAGTGTCTAATCTCTTGTACATTTCCTCATATGCCTTATCCTTTGCTTTAGCTACCGTTTTCTTGGCTTCCCGCTTTGCCTCCTGGTATCTTTGTTTAGCTCCCGACCTTTCTTCGTCGTCATTGCATTGAAGAAACTCCTTGAAGCAAGTTTGTTTTGTCTTCACCTTAGTTTGGACTTCGTCGTTCCACCACCACGATTCTTTATGTTCCTTGGCCTTCCCCGTCGACAACCCAAGGGTTTTTTTGCCCACCTCTCTGATGGAATTTGCCATATTTTTCCATAACATATCTGCGTTATTTGAGTTTGTAGTTTCAAAACCTGTATTAGACAAAAGCTTACTCCTAAAGTCATCAGTTGTCGCTCCATGTAAGTTCTTCCAGAGGATCCTAGGTTTACCCAGTTTAGCCCTCCTATGCGTGCTCCGCCCGTTGGGTACGCGGAACACCAAACCAACAATTTGTGTTGTGATGTACATGCCTCTTCAGGGAACACCTTACAGTCAATGCAAGCCCATCGTTCCCGATTTCTAACCAAGATGTAGTCGATTTGGGTACAATGTCCCCCACTGTGAAACGTAATCAAGTTCACATCTCTTTTATTAAATAAGGAGTTAGTGATCACTAAGTCGTGAGCAGTAGCAAAATCAAGCAACGTACGCCCCTCATCATTCCTGTTACCATAACCGAAACCTCCATGAACACCGTTATACCCGTCGATTGCACTACCTATATGGCCGTTGAAGTCTCCCCTATGAAAACTCTTTGGTCCTCCGGGCTCCTAAGTACAATATCTAACTGATCCCAGAAGCAACGTTTCTCCCCCTCCCCTAGGCCAACGTGTGGAGCGTACACTGAAAGGACATTAACCACTTCCGCTTCTATAATAACCTTAATCATCATGATCCTATCCCGGTATCTACAAACTTCAACAACATTTTCCTTGAGACTAGAGGATACCAAGATACCCACCCCATTTCTAGCGTTATCTACTCCTGAATACCACAACTTGTACCCATTACACTCTCTGGCGCGAGCCCCTTTCCACCTAGTCTCCTGAATACATGCAAAATCTATTTTCCTATTACTAAGTACGTCGGTCAGCTCCAGCAGCCTAGCATTTAATGTGCCTACATTTAACGAACAAACTCTAAGTCTAGTCTCATTGACACCACTCCGTTGAGCCCTCCCCCTATACGCCCTATGGGATCTAAAAGAATGACATGACCTCACGTAATCATCTATAATCGAAGCTATGTGGGACTATGAAAAGAATATCCAAAGAAGAAACCTTTCTGAAAATCCTCAGACCCGAAATGCAACACCCAAAAAGCAAAAACAGTTTATAAATATTTATAACAGATATACTCAATTTGAAATATAAATAATGATATAAGATACTAGAGGTATAGGACAATGAAAAAACAATGATCTAGTAACTCCTACCCAGAGCAATATAGCAAATATAGATCCAGTAGTGCCTTATAATGATTTTTAATTTAATATCAAGTAATATAAATATGATTATAATAGTGTAGTAAGTGATAATTCCAAAAATAAAAATACTAAACAATCACATAGATACACCTACTATTAATACAGAATCAAAACTAGTCGTAAAAGTAGCATAATACGTTTAAATATCTGGCCAACTACTATATGTACCTGACCGGCAAGTAAGAAGTAGTTGCTATTTTTTGGCGGGATTATTTTCCGACGAAGGTTCTGCTGTGGAACTTTAATGGGGTAGCCGGAGTCACCTGTAGAGATCACCGGTGGAATATGGTTGCGGTAACGTTCACCTGCAAAAAGCAAAAGTAACTCCAACGAATATCGGGAGAGAGAGAAGGTTCCACACTTTCCTTTCTGGATCTCCAGCTTCCGAGAAACGAAAATCAGGTGAGTGAAAGAGTAGATCTGAGGATTTGCGGAGCTAAAAGCAAAGGAAGAAAGCAAAAGGATAAGCGTAGGTGGGAAGCGAAAGTAGATCTGGATTCAACAATGCAATGTTATTAAATAAAAGCCTGTAATAACAATTATAGTGTTAATGAATAACATATAAACAATATTACTAAAATTATATCAAAATTTTTTATATTTTATCATAAAAATGTTCATTTTACATAATTTAAAAAGAAAAAAAATACATAACTATAATTAAAAATTCTATATCTTACAGTTCACCACCAAAATGAATGGCGTGGTGGATCTAAAGCATTTCCATCTTCGTCATTGTCTTGGTAATGATTTCTTCTTATTCCATGTGAAGAAGACATCACATTATGTATTATAAGATGCATCATTGGTAGGAAACATGTTGTACGATAAATGATGACAAAAAAATTTATAACTTGGATTTTGTTCAAGGTAAGGTGGATAACATGAATTTAGTTGGAAAGAATGAGAACCATGAGATGATTCACTAATCGTGATTGAATATCCCATTATTGTTGATCTTTTCCATTATTGTTGCATCTGAGTTCCAGAGAAGAAAGGCCAAGTAATTGATCATTTTCTATCCCCCTGTGGGGCACTGGTTTTTATCCAGTGCCAGCTACAGTACTAGTCAATTATTAATATAAGAAACTGATGAGGCGTAGGCTTATATACAAGGAGGCTGTGAAAACTGAGGTCCCAAGTTTTTAAATAATTGAATTTTTCATATATTTCGGAGTAGTCTAAATGTATTATGATTTGTTAGTTTGTTGCTTCAGTTAATCATTCACTGATACAGAGATGTAAAGATTGGTTATGATTGTGATTTAAAAAAAATCATATGATTTATTTGACATTTTAGTTGCAAACTGTATAATTCAACTACCCTAAACTCAGTAACAGTATGAGTTTGCAGCATTTCAATTCTGAATCATTTGCCTGCCAAAAGCTTTTCCCTACTTTTCTTCCCCCTTTTAGCTAAAAGTATTTATATAGCATAGATGTTATAATGAGAAAGCTGTAGCTTTTTGAAATATTCCTTGGCCAGGAGCAAGTATACCCAAAGGGTCGTAAGTGGATTTTCTTTGGACAAAAGCTTCCCATTGTGTGTCAAAATGGGATCTCCATTCTCCTTTTGTAGAATAGTGGGGTAAATATTGTTTTGCCCCAAAACCACCTATATCACATGAATCTAGAATTCTTCTGTTTTGACTTAGTATGTGCTCTATGCCATCACTTCCCTTTGAAGATGGCACTGCAGATGTAAGGAATGCCACTAAATAGAAAACATCTTCTTCTGGTAACACAGCTGAAGTTCTATTGTCCCACCTGCGATTAATATTAGCAGTCATGAATATTTACAAGTGAATTATATTTTTTTTTAGTTTTTTGTTTTGAGTTTCTTACTTTGATTTGTTCAGTGGATAGATGAGGATGGGGCCATTGCTTGTATTTGTCAAGATATTGCCAAAGACTTGTTGAGAAAAACTTTGGATTCTACTTCTTGGGATGAGGAGATTGAGCCATGGATGTGGAACTTCCCACAAGCCTTTCGACCGGAGTTTGATCTCGGAAATGTGAACCCTGTCTAAAAACTCAATGTATGGAACTTCTGATTGAAAAAGTGTTGATGGAATGTGGTTTAACTGAGATAATGAACTCACAACTTCCTGCAAATATAGTAAAAGCAAATGTTTTAGTTATGCATACATAGTAAAAACATAGCTTATTAAGTCCAATTGGCTCACCTGATTTACTACATCCATTTTTTCAGGGTTGAAGTACTTTGCTAATTCTAGACAGAAGAGAGTTCTTCCATCTGACTTGAATTGGCTAGCTTGCACTGGATCCTTTGGGTTGAAGAATGATCTCCAGTTATTTAACAGACCAGTTCTGTTTATAATAACAAATCCTTCAATATAATCATATGTGCTTTTTACAGATATTAACCTCTCTTGATCCCTGGAAAATGTGGAAAAATCTTCATACAGCACTCTAATCCATTTCACCTGTTGAGGACGAAAAACAATAGTCATAACAAGTATACTCCCAAGTTTTCAACTAAAGTATGATATATTATATTATTCAAATTGTCTTCCATTTTTACCATTTTAGGTGCTGGTTCCAGCAATATCCGTGCCCGTGTTATGATGCCGAACTGACCGAGTCCTCCGAGAACGCCGTAGAACAGATCACTGTTCTGCTTCTCCGAGCAATTCACCACTTCTCCTTTCCCTGAATTCAGGCACAGTCCACCATCTTACAACATGGAGCATTACATCCAAACTCTCAGATTGAATGAAGACAAATTTGAACAAACCTGTAACGACTTCCAGTTGGTGAACGTTACTGATCTGCGGTCCGTGCCGAAACGCCTGTCCACTGATCCCAGCATTGGAAAGAGTACCGCCGACAGTTAAATGGAGGTAATCCGTCCATGATTTCGGTGCCAACCCATGTTTCAGGGTTTCACGCAGTATATTTATCCACAGCTCACCACCTGAGACATCCACATAAGGGAAGTTCCCGGTGTGAACCTTCATTCTAGGGCTTCGGAGTGATTCCATGTTGATCACAACTCCTTGGCGGGCTTGTGCTTGGCCATGGAGTGAGTGGCCATGCCCTCTAGCTGCAACCGTGAGTCGTGAACCAGAACCCATATTCCATATATGCTTCACTGTGGTGGCAATATCAGAAGCTGACTCGGAGTGTAGAACAGCCAAAGGAAGGAAACTGTATCGATTGCCAAAATCTTTTGCTGCAAAATGAACTTTTTTGAAATCGAAATGACCAGCAATGGGAAGTGTTTTCAGTGAAGGAATGCTGGGAACACAGAGGTTAATTTTAAGGGCTATGTAGATGAGGAACAAGATGATGGAGCTTCTTAAAAAACGCATGATTTGTTGTAGGTAATAGAAGATGGAGTTGAGGGGAGAATTTAAAGGGAGAAGATTTGGGTGCCTCAGTCAAACTATATCTTCAGTTGTTTAGACTCAGAAACCGTGTGAAGACTTCCTTCTCTTATAGGGTTTCTTTTGTTTATAGAAGAAGCCATCGCACATAACATAAGCCAAGTTGATGAGAGAAAGTCACAAGAAAGATAAAAAAAATCTATCAACTTTTCTGTACAGTTGCAACCACAAAACCCCACCTTTTACACCCGACGCACACAAGTCCGTGTCCTGTTACCATATACAATATTTCCGAGTTTAAGCATCTGCGTCAATAAATTATGTATACGTTATCAATAATAAAATATATTTCAAACATATATTATCATGTAATCATTCCATTATGGAAAGTTGAATGCTTAAGGGTCTACCTCTTATAAGGAAGTAATCATGGATAGATCGAGAGGTTAAAGATCTCACTCACTCCCATAAATGATGTGATGAATGGTGGTTCTCCTTGAATCCGTCAGTGTCGGAATGAAAGTAGACATGGCGTGATTTGGAAGAGCAGGCAGTTGATTCATTTGACAGAGATAGCACGGATACTGGGACACGTGATATCCGAAAGCTTTTACGATCACTTGAAGTTCTAGGATTGGACTGCTCGACTGGCTTTGGAATGCTCTATATGTTTTGCTTGATGAGTACAAGTCTCTGAATACTGTCTGTCACACAATTGAATGTTTACCTTTCTCTAAGTCTGATACTTCCTCCTCCAATAATATATGTTTTATATCGACTATACACATAGTTTTAGGAAATATATTTGATCAAAATAAATAATAAAATTATCCTTAAAAGTTGATCAGTAAATTTATTTTGATTAGTACAAAAGAGTGAGACACACAAAGGTATTGTTGTTTGTTGACTTTTCTAATAGAATATGAATGAAACAATTTTAAAACCAAAACCGGGACGGAAGGAGTATTATGTTATTCAAATGTATGTGTGATTTAATCTTATGATTTTGTTTTCCATACCTAGGGTGAAATGTAAGGGATATCTTGTGTCCTTCTATACCCTCATGAGATGTAAAAGTTGATTGAGTTTTTTTTTTCATTAAGAGATTTAAGTTCACGTGGAAATTGAATTAACACCCTAATATTTAGGGTAAACTACATGTTTAGTAAATAAACTATTAGTTTTGGTCCATTTTAGTATTTAACCTTTTATTTTTTTCAAAACCATACCTAACGTTTAGTTTTTGTTTCATTTTAGTACCCCGTAGTTAAAAACTTAAAGGACGGGCTGACATGACATAGCTCCAATGGACGGGCGTCCCATATGAACGGTGGACCACGAGAGAATGATGAACCAACCAATATAGTCCAGTTTCAGGCCCATTGGACGGTGGACTATGGAGATCGGAGGATGAAGAAATCGAAGAGTTAATCGTTGATTTAGGGAGATTGAGGCATTTTTCGGTGAAACGGAGATCGAAATTGCGTTTAGGGGGTCGAAAAGGTGCAGGCTGGAAAGTTTGGGCTTCACAGGCTGACGGATGCGACGACCATCGATTGTAGACGTGACGGCCGACGAGCTCGTCCGTTAATTTTTTAACGACGTGGTACTAAAATGAAATAAAAACTAAACGTTAAGTATGATTTTGAAAAAAATAAAAATTTAAGTACTAAAACGGATAGTTTAGGTACTATATACATAATTTATCCTAAAATTTATAAGACATTTACATTCTTCTAATATTAATATTTATATGATATAGGACATAGGACATAAATATATTAAACTGAATTTCGTCATACTTACGATGTTGCATGGTGAGAAAATATATCATATAAAATATATATTTGTTTAAAAATGTATTCAACAATGATTAATTTCTTTAATAGTATGAGATGATTATAAGATAATATTTGTTCACAATCTTTTTTATCCGTTGACAATGCATACATCCTCTACAAACACAAATACTAAAATTCAACATTGACTTTTAATAACCAAAATTAATTAATGAATTCTAATAATCACTTTTAAACATGAACATAATCGAAAAATTATATCATGATGTGTAACATTCTTTAAATCTAACATTAACAACTCTCTTTGTTTCGAAATCAACCTTGTTACATTACTTCATTGTTACATGATGTCTTTTTCTGGTGTTTGAACCCGATACTTCAAGGATTAACAATAAATTTTTTACCACCGAGGTCACTAAGATTCGAAATCATATAATTATTGTTTAAAAATATTTTATGAAAATTTTCAAATCATATTATTAAAAAGCATATAGGAGAAATAAAATATGAATATCGTCTTAATTATCTTCTCTGCTGGTGAGATGTTACTAGAAAGTAAAAACAATTGGATTCCAAGTTACCATGAGTATGCAACTTTTGAGAGTCCAAACTCCAAATACACCCGGGATAGATCGAAGAGATGCGTGAGAGCAGTTACCTCTCTAAAAGTTTTAAATTATTATATATTTTAGTTATTTTTATTGATAATATATAATCCTCTTAAAATTTTATAAATTCATAAATTCTAAAATTTTATAAGTATATATCCTAACATAAAATCTTACGTAGGTCCCTATATACACACAAGACATTACACATTTTATTTTTTTGCATTACTTTTAAGGAACATATGCAAGTGATGAAGTGAAATATCCATTTGTTCTTGCCCTTTTGTCGCTTTCTTTAATTCTTGAGTCAATGTTAGTTTATGAGTTACCCACCTTGTTTTGTCGTGACAAATAATAAAAAAACCGAGTTCACACGGAGTAATAAAACGGAGTTTATGAGTCAATGTTAGTTTATGAGCTTCTAACTTGAAGCCTGTAAGAGTCTAGTGCGTTTAGTCTTAGTGGTAATTTCCATGTATTGCATTTGCAAGTGAGTTAGGTAGGTTTTAATTTCTGCTAAAATATGATCATTGAGCCCATCATTTATAATTTACTTTTTTTAAGCCAATAAATTAATCCTCAACTTAAACTATACATAGTAAGTAAATAATTATTTATTATTTATTATTATAGAAAGATTAATCTATATTAAATTGGTCTAATATGATTAAAGTTAATTGGATTTTAATAATTAAATAAAGTATAAGTTATATATGTAGATTCTCAAATAATTGAATTTTTAATTGGTGATGGATATGGACGGAGTCAAGATTGTATTATAAAGGAGCAAGTTGTTTAACTTTGAAATAAATAGGATCACCAAAATTGAACAAACTATAACGATCAAGAAAGATGGAAATGAAGAATGCTTTCTTGCTTACATTGAAAGGAAGATTACATGGCTTGTTTATATACAACTATAGTAGTTATAAAATTAACTGACTAACTGAATTACAACAGCTAACTAACAACTAATTAATGGAATAACTAAAAACAAACTAATTACAAGATGATGTATCCTAATACCCCCGCTCAAGCTGGATGTTCATGTATGTTAAGGAGACCCAGCTTGGCAATAAAACCACGTTGCATGGGAGGCCAAAGAGTTTTTGTGAAGATGTCAGCCAATTGATCTGAGGAACGAACATGAAACAACTTCAAAAAAGCAGCTTTCACCTTGTCCCTTACAAAATGACAATCAACCTCTATGTGCTTTGTCCTCTCATGAAACATTTGTTTAGTTGCAAGGTTAATTGCAGCTTGGTTATCACAATATAATCTTGCATAATCAATATCCTCATGAAATGAAGAGAGCAAAGAAACAAGCCAAACCAATTCAAAAGTAGCCATAGCCATAGCTCGATATTCAGCCTCACACGAAGATCGGTTAACAATAGTCTATTTTTTCGATTTCTATGACACCAAGCTATTACCAAAGAAGACACAAAAGCCTGTCGTGGAGCATCGTGTATCAGGACAAGAACTATAATCTGAATCAACAAATATACTCAGATGTTTAGTGGATTGAACTGTAAAGAATAAGCCAATACCATGAGAGCTTCTGATGTAGGCCAAAAGATGCTTCAAGGTAGTCATGTGAGGCAGACGAGGAGAGGAAACAAACTGGCTCAACAAATGCATAGTGTGAACAATGCCTGGCCTAGTATTAGTCAAGTACATCAAATAACCTATCAATCGTCGATACTCCTGAGAATCAGAAAGTAACACTCCTTCATTTGCACTTAACTTTGAGGAAATGAGCATAGGTGATTCGACTGGTTTAGCACCCAAACAACCTGTATCCTCCAGCAACTTCAATGCATATTTCCTTTGGGATATAACAATGTCATAGCTATTCGTAGTTATTTCAAAGACAAGAAAATAAAACAAAGGCCCCAACTCCTTTAGTTTGAAGTGCTTTTGTAAAAGACTTTGAATTTCATGAAGAGCTTGTAGGTATTTCCTAGCTAATACGATGTCATCTACATATACGAGAAGAACAATGAATCTATTTCCAAATCGTTCAAATAGAGACTGCTGAAAACCAAGTTGAAGGACAACATTAGAAAATGTAGTAAACCATTGCATGGATGCTTGCTTCACACCATAAATGGATTTGTGAAGCCTACAAACCATGTTAGATCCTTTAAGCTCAGACTTGTATCTAGGAGGTAATTTCATGTAAACCTCCCCATCTAATATACCATTTAGAAAGCCATTATTTACATCCAGTTGCAACAAATGCCACTTACGTGTTGCTGCAAGAGAAAGCAAGACTCGAAAGGAAGTCATCTTTGCGACAGGTGAGAACGCGTCGATGTAGTGAATTCCCTCAACTTGTGTGAAACCCTTAGCAACCAAAATGGTTTTACAACGATCAACCAAGTCATCAGCATTATACTTCACCTGATAAACCCATTTACAATCAACAACATTCTTTCCATCGGGTAATGGAACAATGGTCCATGTTTCAAGATCCTCAATAGCTCGAAGTTCATTATCCCTAACATTTCTCCATGTTGGAGACTTGAAATCTTCATGATAAAAAGATGGCTCAACAACAGACAAGATATTGGTA